TAAAATACATTTAATCATTGTATCTAAAGAGAATAGAAAAAAAGAGACTGATTGTGAATTTATTTACTGCTTTACGGCACCTTATTGCCCATTGATACTTGTATAATACATGTTTATATTTTCAGCAAAATCAAATCATGCATGTAAGGTGTGTATACTAATTCTCTGTATGTTGTTATTATTGATTTAACTTATAGCTTGATAATGGAAGACTATCATCTTCATTTAAAGTCAGCATTTCGTAAATAATGACATTATATCAGAAATATAATTTATCATCTAGACGTATTTTTACTGTCTTGTAAAACATATGGGAATAACGAGCAGTATTCAAGATCAGAAGTCCTTAAAATAATACCAAAATATGGGCAGAGCAAACACGGACCTCCAAAACATAAGAGTTTCATACCAATTGTTAGGTTTCTGTTTTTATGAACTGGCTGCGTAATGTTTCGCCTACCTGGCCAATTCATCAGGTTCACGGCGGTCAGCAGAGGATGTTTACTCATCCTAGGTACTCTGATCTAACCTCTGGAATTTCAGGTGGTCTGTTTGTACTTTTTATTTTACGAAACCAATCGCTGCATGCTCGTTATATTCATCTTTTTCATTGAATTACTGGAATTAACCCAAGAAAGACTCAAATTTTGCTGAAATAAATCTGGAAATCTCAAAAAAGTTTTAGTAAATTTCATATTGTAATCTTTTTTTGTAATCTGGTTGCACCTCCTAAGTTTGAAAAACGTATTATCTAAACAAACCTCACGCTATTCAAATTTAATTTTAGAGATTTAGTGGGTATTTTACTTCTAAAACCTAAAAAGTCAACAAAAAAAGTGGTAATTCCATGTTCTCTCGTGTTTAAGAATGATATTAATTTTTTTCCATGTGTTGATATGTCGAGGATACCAGTTTTTTGACAATTCATATTTTCCTTTCGCTTTGTAAAAAGGTAGGATCATAACAACCTTGAATGCAACTATATATCCGAATATGTGATCTTTATTCCGTGAAGTTGTTTTAAGTTATAATTCGTAGAAGGAAAAATTATCTTTACATTGTACACGTATTTATTTTATCGCACCAATCCACAAACCTACTGATAACCCCTCGTATATATTTGCAGTGTTTAAATATCTAACAAAGAGAAACAAAATTAACAATGTTATCATGTATTAGAATGACTTTATTCAATCATCATGATGTAAATGTGAAATAACAATTCATAATGTTTTTTTAAAAAATTGACAATGAATATTATTATCAAAACTGAAAAAAAAACAGAGTAACAAACAAGAATTATTACATACATGTAGAAGGAATATCAGAATGCTAAAAAAACCTCCCTCAATTAGGCTCTAGCCCATTCCAAGTTTTTCCTATGTTTAGCGTCCACCATCTTTTAAAAATTTACATACCTATTCGCAAAAAAGGTCAAGAAATGATACTAATATGGGTCGTCAAATACAACATTTACACGCCCACGCTAAACTTAGAAAAACTTGGAATGGCCTTACACTATCTTATACTTTACGATTCTTGGTAATAAGTCAGAAAACAATTTTTGTATCATAGCATATGAATACTATTGCAAACATTTTGCTAAATATATATAACTCTTGAGATTTATAGGTAGATCGATACATTTGAATATTTAAGAATGAATTTCTCTGCAATTATATAATTTACAAATTCTGCTGTCTTTGGAGGTGTAATTGTCTAATAGTCTAAGCAGACATTTATTCCCATTTCTAAATACACATTATTTCTTGGATAGTTCCAGTGGCAAATTCAACAAATATTCGTCGAAGATAATTTTTATAAGAGTCTGTAATTCAAACCTTCAACGTAGAGTGGGGTATACCTTATTTTAATCAAGATATTTATTGAATTATCATTTCACATAAAGGTCAATCCACATTCATTAAATGAAAGAAATACACTTCACATATTTTTTATTTAGGCTAAAAGTTTTCAGTGTAAAAGTTTTGCAGAACTCAACAAGATAAGAAAATAACCTAAAAAAGAAATCGTTCAACTTATTCTAACTTTGACATTAAAATAAAGATACCTTCGAAATTTCCCATACACCATAAATTTAAGTAGAGGTATTATAACTGACAACATAATTTATATAAATGTTTAAGTATAGCTTCTCAATTTTAGTATTGTGATAATTCCGCACTTCATATCCATCTGAATATTAGATAGAGATACTATACCGCGTTTTCCAAAAGGAATTTAAGTTTTAAATAAAAAGATTTCCCCAAATGAAATTTTATTTTTAACATTAAAATCGCTATGAAATTCCAAACTAGTACTTTTTTTTTCCTTTTTCATCCCCTCTAAAACTCTTCTTTAAAGCTTGTTCGTTGGAATTTAATTTTAAAAATACTTTACAAAATGTAACATCTTCATTATAAAAAAAAAATAAATCTATCACTATTTTGTAATTTATAAACGCCATTTTATCAGTCACTTTTAATACCTATGTCTAATTTGACATTTACCATTTTTTATCAGTCACTTTATAAATTTTAACTGATTTTGAAAATCAAAATTCAACTGATCTATCGATCATGAATATTACCCGTATCTCAACCTACATGTGAGATCATATTTAAATCATACCCATAGAGGGGGTTGCAAAATACTGTAATTAAAATACAAGTAGATCAGAGAAAGGCTAAATGACATAAAATTAGTAATAACAAGTAATAATGAAGAAAAAAATATCCTTAAATGAATATGTAAAAATATATTGTATTGAGATTTTAATTTAATTTTTTTTAATGACAACCATGGTGAGAGAAGGTTAAATTACCTATCTTATAATTTCCATATAGTAAACTGAATTATGAAAAAAATTTATGCCTATAAATGATTTCAACATACTGGTAATACAGTTGAACTATTCAGAGAGGTTGAAATTATAAAAAATATATGAACAATTCACTAGGTCGAAACCTATTTTCTTGATTTTTTTTATGATAACATGTGATCAGTGATTATTTACAGTGATAAAACATGAATTTGATTTATATAACATATGTAATAATCAATAACAATATACGGCGAGAGATTATACAGGCAGAGGCCTACTGCCCATCAGCAATATGTCAATATAACCAAAAATGATATTTAAATCTATATACTTTGATAAAAATTAATGACGTAAAATTGCATACTTTAAAACAAATCAAAAGGCACTGAATGTACGAAAACAAGGGTTTTGAGGGATAAACTAGAGGTACTGTGAGCGATGAGCTCACTAAATGATACCCCCGCCTCCCATATGATCATAATGGCAAAGTCCATGTTTTGCGGTGAGGGGAAACCCAAAATATTTGTCGGATCAAAAAATAAAATTAGAGGTAAACAATGGCAATATGTAAGAAAGATTCTGTGAAAGTTTCATCAAATTTCACTCAGTGGTATAAGAGGAGTTGCGGATAAGAGATGGGTACTCCAAAGCGTAACAGACGGACGGACAGACGGACGGACGGACATAAGGATTACTATATACCCTCCCGCTTTTCACGCGGGGGGGGGGGGTTATAAATATGAATTTGGCAAATATATGATAACAAGTGCATACATGTACAAATTTGATACATAATTCATATTAAGAACATGCATGATTTATTTTCCAGGTAAATGATTCTATAAACGTTAAAACAATAAAAACAATAACAAAAAAGACCTTAGTGTTACTTCTGCCATAAAAAAAATTCTGAAATTGCATTGGAAAACATAAACACAACCTTTTTTTCTCAAAAAAAATTACGATATCCGTGATTTTAAATATAGGAATCTTGTTGTCATTAAATTATTCAAATCCTTCATTATTTGGGACGGATACCGAGGTTTTAAGAAGAACTTCCATATCACTAGTTACTATACAATACTCTACTAATATTGCATTTCATTGGTGCATAGAATTATTTGGCACTTTTATATCTTTATCTGCAAGAAGGGTATGTAGTTTAATGTCATTTTCATGCTTTGCTTAATTCTTAAAAGAACTCAATAATATACACAGAACTATTCATAAATTGGATTTTAACCTTTTGGCTAATTTAATTCATCAATCTATAAGTTTGGTATAGGTATACTGAGAAAACAGTTACAAAAATTTAATTCAATTTGAGCAAATCTTTTTTTTTTCTAAGAGTTTGGCACTAACATGTTTAAAAGCAAGCAGCTAGCTTATAGTATTAAAAAAAGAATAAAAAACTACACTACTTAACAGTAAAACTAAATATTATCATAAAAATCTAAAAGGCAAGGTTATTAATTACCTCAAGCATATAAGTAACTTCTGGATGCTGGTTTTGACCTAGACAAGTTGCATGAGCACACAAAGGGTACATGTATATTGAAATAAACAGAGAAGTGAAATAGAGAGCATGTTTTAAAAATAAAAATACATAACAAAAAACTGGTCTCCTGTGTTGAACTGGGTCGCATTTTTCTTCCTTACGAAATACGATTGTGCAAGCAAATTACTGTTGTTGTTGATTAACACACATTTCGAACATTTAACATCACAGTATGCCTTAGAAATATTAAGGATACAGGTATGCTGTTTCTTAAGCCCCTCTCGGGGATCTGCCTTCTTGTGATCAAATATAAATTCCCTACATCACAAAATCAAAAGACGGGAATGTAAAGTTGACGTCAGACAGACGCACGAAGGACAAACAGTGACCAGAAAAGATTACCAGAATCTTTGAATGATAAAAATTTGAAGGCATCACACATGGTTAAAACATGGTATCATCTACTTTTCCAGAAAGACACTTGTCAACCGATTTCGGACATTGAATAAAACACGAAGATGTTAGTATCAGTCACTACTTCGCTCTTCTAATCTTCTAAATGCTATTACTAGTATATAATGCTCTCTCTCTCTCTCTGTTGATATGCTGAATCTTAGAATCTTACTATTTGTGCGACATGCTACCAATAGAATTATTGAAAAACCTTGGGATCACTGGTTCAGCTGTTAACTCTTCAAATTTGCAGCAGTGTGTAAAGATTAAGTAAAATGATTGTAACAGAAGACTTCGTTGTCGTGGTACCTGATATGGCATGCTGATCGGACAGTCTACTCTTGTTATTGATGTCAGACCCTGCAATTACCACTGTATTTACTACTGAATTCACCTGGGTGGAATATATTTCCGTTTCTCTACAGAGTGGCAAGTTAACTGAAAGAAACAAATGTTAATGTATATTAATTCCATACAAATTTGCAATGATCTCTCATTTTAATTTTTTCTCTCCATCGCTTTTATATAACTAACATTGAATTGACTACCTTGTCCTTGTTGGGTTGTCGCAGATTTTTCAGTACACTTATATGTATATCGTTTATTTTCACTGTACGTAATGCAGTCCATTTTTGTAACATCACAGTTCTTCAGATTAAGAGACGATGCATTTTCAATTCTATCACAAATTCTTGTAACCTAAAGAAAGCATGGTATATTATTTCAGTGTATAAAATTGTATATTTACAGAGTCTTATACATCTGTTACATATTTTACTTGAAAAAGACGTTAATGATAAACTAGCAACAAAACTTTATGACAATCGACTTTCACTTTTCAATCGCCATCTTCCCTTCCTTATTCAGCAACATCACCTGCGAACAGGGTTTAAATCTCTCAGTTGACTCGATACGCAAGAGCATGGTTTACGTCTGAACAATTTTCAAAACAAATTTATTGACAAACAAGTTGCTGAAACAAGAATACCAGCAGTCTCATTTAAACCATCATTTCGTAAGTTCTATGGTCGATACAATGATATTGCCTGCAAATTCAATCTATCATTATAAAGTCAAATTCTGACTGCCTTTTTCATACTTTTTATTAGGCCATTACATACACACTGAATTGAAGACGGGGTTTTCTGTTATTTCCCGATCATGACAAGGAGCACACGGCTGGTGTGACCGGTCGGCAGGGGATGCTCACTCCTCCATGGCACTTAATCCCACCTCTGATGTTTGGAGGTCCGTGTTTGCTCTGCTCATACATATTTTGTATTGTTTGATGGACTTTTGAGCTTCAATACTGTTCGTTATCCCCATATATCTCAATTGATACTTTTTTGATTCTAAGAGTACCTTTTCCATTTTATTTTCACAGAACATCCCTCCGAATTCAGGTGGACAATCACATGTGATCTCTGGTGCCTTTACATCAGGATTAGTCTCATCACAAGTAAGATTCCCACCATTAATACACGGGCCATTGTTTCGTAAGCTGTATTTCATACAATCGATACCTATCAACAAAATTTCTTATTCCATCATTGTCATTAAAGCAGGTGAGCAAAAAATAAGTGAAAATGTGTAATTAAACATATATATTAATTATTTTGAAATATAACTTACATGTCAATAATGTAACATCGTCTGACTTCACATTGCCAGGACAAGATGAATGTGGATGATAGAATGCTTCATATACATTGTAAAATGAGCAAACACATTCAGGTTTAATATAAATACCAGTGTTACCACATTGTAAAGACTTGCTATCTAAAAAAAAAAAGAAAAACAAATGAAATTGTTACGCAAGAAAAAAAAAGAGATACATTGTAGTTCTTTCACCGAGGTCGTTTACTGTGATGGTAACTTAGTTTTATTACTTATTACTATAATCTCTCATTTCTTATGATTTCTAGTATAGTTTCATAATGTGGGTAAATCTTTAATCTATAATGATTACTTGAGTCTCTTTCCCGGCACAGTTCCTTGTCTTTACTCGTCAAAAATTCTGGTATCCCTGAAAATATTAAGAACACGTCATATATCTTTCCCATCATACAGCACAGAATGCTTTACTCTTGACATGCCCCTTACAAAATCGGAGGACTGGATTGTTCTATACATATACCATTAAGTGATGGTATTTACATAAGTCATTGAGATTTAAGTATATATGTGAAAATTGACCAAACTGTGGGCAAATGTTTTATAAAGAATTACAAAAAACAAATCTATATTTAATAACCATCAGTACACTATTTGTCGAAATACAAAAACGATACCCAGTCCTGTGAATCGTATACTCATCTCTATGTATCTTTAGTGAACTCTGTACCGCATTAATCTAAGGTTCTAACAAAAATTAAGAAGAAGTGTTTTAAAAGTATTTCAAAGAAATGTCTATTATAAGAAACCATCACACGATTTTTAGTTGAAGTCAAAATCGAAAAAGAGAATTATGAGTTTTGGTCTTGAAACAATGTTTACGGTCAGATATATAGACTTCACATAAGTTATTCTAGCCCCTGGTCAGTAAAATTAAAATTCTACAATTGTAAAGTATCTAGTAAATAAACATATTTCCAGTGCATTCACAAGTAATACCCGTTACATGTACTCGTATGTATTTAATTTCTGACTTTCAAATTCCATTTTGCACGCACTTAAGGGAATTTTAAGAGAAGAGACAATTTATAGGATATGCCTCTTTACATGTAAGACTCAAAACAAATTTATTTATATAATATCTTTCCTGGTCGACAATTTACTTTGACATCAAGGTTTCTTGCTTTGCGTTTTTTTCTTCTTTTTTCTTCTTTAAGTTAAACTATTACAAAATTCTTTGTCAACAGAAACTACAATTCTCTAAATATTTACAACGAAAACTAAAGGAGAAGACAGGTGGCTTTAAAAACGCTTCTGTTGATAAAAGGGAATCTATACGTAATATCGAAGCACTCACCGTGTGGCAATTTGAGTGCTTGTTTGTCCTGAATAATCCTACACTGACGAGGCTCGTCTGGAATAAATTCAATAGAAGTCTTTACTTAAAGTCTTTCACAGAAAAAATATGCATAGATTTTCATAGTACAGAATGTATAATATACGTTATATACTTACTCTTTTACATAAAAGAAAAGAATACCGGTATGTTCCAAATATCATTCAATATAAAAAATATCAGTAAATGAAATTGCAAGAATGTTTCTTAGAAAATGCAAAACAACAAAAACACAGATTTCCATAAATTAAACAAGGCCTTATCCCTAATTACTTACAATCTCATTATTTTATTACCTAAGCTATCTCATGCACAGCGCCAGAAGTGTCATACTATGAGTAGCAAACAAACAAAACTAAAATGCAATAAAACGTCTCCTTCATATAAAAACTGTCTAATTTTGAATATGTTTTAAACAAAATATAACATATAACGATTACCTTTATTAAAAACAATATGAAAAAAGGTCTCCAAAACATAAAAGCATTCATTTATGCTCGTTTATACTAAATCATTTAAGTGATATCAGGCACACACAATCTTGAAGCAACGTTAAAGATGAAAAGTATAGATTGATAAAGAAACTTACCAGTTTGTGGCATGGAATAGGATGAAATAAAAAAGAGAAAGGAGAAGTAAACCGAAGTTTTCTTTCTTAACATGATTTCTTGTCCAAGACACAATACTGTAATTTAGAACCTACAAAGAAGATTTTGAAAAGTGCATTGGGATTTACATGCATATATTAACATTTTAAATGCTTCAAAAGCAAAGTTCATATCATGCGTTATTAAAAATTGTTATTGATTCAAATATAAATAACAAAAAAAAAATTTAATATTTACAAAAAAAATTATGAATTGCAGCTATTTAAGCCAATACATGCACTTGCAGATAAAAATTCGGACAACCATTCAAGTTAAATAACTTAAAAATCTTCACAGTATCTTTCTATTATTAAATATGAATTAATGACCACAGCAGGGGATTAACCTAAATAGTTATATATTAGTCATAGTTAAAAGGGGACTTCTCTAGGTAACAAAATGAGACTCACTTTAAACGAAGTTTTATAGTTGTAATGAAGAGCTGATTAAAAAAACCAAAATCAACAATTAAAGCAGTGAGCATGTACCGCGACTTCCAAGTCATTTTCAATAAAACACAGATAACACGGATTACAATGACCCCAAACAGTACAGTAAAGGTGTAAACCATGTCATAATCTGAACTTTCTTTGAACAGTTCTTCTGTAGATAATTGTAATGATTTGCATCGAATATTAAAATGAATAAATGCAACTCAAAGAGAAAATAACATTGTGCACGTTTTTTTCTGCACAGTTTAAAAGTTACGTCATATGCAAACTAATGTTCAAAATTTTGTTTGTAAACAAAAGGTAAAAATGTCCGCTTCGGATATATTTTAAAATTGTACTCCTTTTCCCGCAGTTATCGTGAACTATATTTAAAAGTCACTTACTTCTTAATAAGTATGTTATCCTACATCTCCATAGAATTTCAAATTTCAAGTGAATATATAGCTGTTGATTGACAAAACGAAAGTACTTGCGGAATATCCTGTGTTATGATTATAGATCTGGGTCATTAAATACACATGTTATCAAGACTGATATTTGATGAAAATATTTTTGTCTAGTAGCTTTAATGTTAGCAGGCATTAAGTTGAAATGTTAAAAACAGTTACTTTTTCAAAATAAAGTACATATTTCATTTTAACATTAAATTGTCAAGCAGGTCCGCAAGGAGCAATTTCACAGATATATATTTTGAGTTGGGGACACTGTAACCTGTACTACCAAAAATAAGTAAAAAAGCAAAACATATTTTTTGGGGACGGACGAACAAATGGAAGATTTGTTTTTATAGTATAGCAAAGTAAAGTATATATAATAATCCATGACCCTGGTTCCTTCGGCCATGTTAAGCATAGCATATCTCACTCACACTAATGAAAACTTGAGAGCAATGAGCTCACTTAATGATACCCCCACCTCCAAAATTAATAAAATGTTTCCATGTTTTGCAATGGGAAACCCCAAATATGTGTCCGATCAAAAAGTAAAATAGAAGGTGCACAATGGCAAAATGTAATAAAGATTATGTGAAAGTGTCATAAAATTTCAGTCAGTGGTATGAGAGGAGTTGCGGATAAGAGATGGGTACCCCAAAGCGTAACAGACGGACGGACAGCTAGAAATACAGACAGACGGATGTGCATGATCACTAGAGGAAAATCACTTTTATTCGCATGCACTTGTATTATGTACATCGCTTGGGTTTCAATGTACTATTGTTAATCGTTATTTTACAATCGTGTTCACGATTATATTTTTCTAATTTGATTCGTACATATATTATAGGTTAGGGCGAATCCCGCGTTGTACATAAATTATCCCACATTTCCAACCATCGTTGATGTTCCTGCCATACTCATTAAACTAGAAAGCGATTCCTAATATTTCCATTTTATTGTGAATTAAAATTGAAGCTTTAGATTTTTAAAATGCTGTCTAATAAATTAGTTTTACACGAGGTCCCCATGTCAATTTCAATAATTTCCACCCACTGACGTCAAACACTCCAGACCTTTCGCTTTGCGAAATTTAAATTTTGGTAGAATTATCAAGAAATCAACTCAACTAACTTTCAAAGAGTTATCACAGAGAGAAGAAATAAAAGTGGAAATATACTGTAAACCAACTTAATTATTCGCCTGCGAGAAATATTCGCGATTTTCACGACCTACCTTACATCGCGAATATGAATCGCCGATAACCATTTATTTAGTTTTGTTCTCGTATAATATATTTTCTGATTCGTGAAAATTAATCGCAACGGATTGATTTCAAACTGACGAATCGCTAATAAAAAATGACGCGAATAATAATTGGTTTACAATAATGCTATTGATTTTGGTGAAATTTTGTGATTTCAGAAAATATTTACACCCGATTTACTTTTCTTCTCAATACATTATTGCACAGTACTGCAGAAGTTTCTGCTTCACTTCAGTTAATATTTAAGTGAAAATTAAAGAAATGGGCTTGGTTGAATATTTACTGGAACCTACTATGTATCGTCGTTAGTAAGAATTTTGAGAAGTTTCAGAATGCAATATGTATATGCTAATTCACATTCATTGTGGGTGTTACGAATACTAGTATCAAAATATTAAAAACGGACATATGATTTTGAAGAATTTTCTCCTTAGAATGGGAGTCATGTGTATAAGTTTAATTACCAACTAGAATTAAATCCCAGTTCTTCTAAACAAAAATATTCGTTATTGACTGGGTATGAGGGCAATCTGAAATACATGGAGATAATGAACATTATTCAAACTTAAAGTCTATTAAACAATACAAATCAGGAACAGAGAAAACAAGTACCACCGCAACATCAGAGGTGGGATCAGGTGCCATGGAAGAGGGAACATTCCCTGTCGATTGGTCACAACCGCAGTGTGCTCCTTGTCATGATCTGGAAAAAAACGGAACACCCGTCGTCAATACAGTATATAAATAATGTATAACAATTGGTATGAAAAACGTCAGTAAGCATTTGACTCAATGATAAATTGTACTTGCTGACAAGGTAATTGTATCGAGTATAGAACTTGCAAAATGATGACTTTAAATGAGACTGCTGATATTCCTGTTTCATCGACTAGTTTGTCAATAATTGACCTCGTTTTAGAAATTGCACATACTTAGAGCATGCTCCGTATGCAGGTGATGAAGGTATATTGCTGCATACGTAAAGGAAGTTGACGATTGAAAAGTAAAACTTATTACGTTTATCATATATAGCTTGAATGTTAGATTGTAACGTTAGTTGTAACATTTAGATAGTTATGCTGGGTTTTTCACATTTCACAGGTGTATTTCTGGTGACAATTAAGATCCCCCTTTTGACTATTTGAGTTTGGTACTGGCCTACTTTTGAAAAACTTAAGCCTTTGTCATATCTTTTGAATGCAATTATGTCTTATGTTTCACAGGTTTTTCCTTGCGACAATTGTCGTCTTTTGCTTTATTCATTGTCAATTAAGGTTTGAACTATTTTTTGAAAAAAAAATTACATTAATGAATCCTTGTAACAGTTTGGTCTTAGAATTTGACCATGTCCAATTTTTAAAACACTACTCCTCTCCTTCCACTGGATGAAATTCTATGAAACTTTCACAGAATCTTTATTACAAATTGCCATTGTGACCTCCTATTTTAATTTATGATCGGACACATATTTTGGGTTTTCCAGCCACAGCAAAGCATGGACTTTGCCATGATAACTATATGGAGGCGGGGGGTATCATTGAGTGAACTCATCGCTCACAATACCTCTAGTTTACATACTTTTTGTATCTTTACATTATCGGTAATGAAGCATCAATTGATCTGCAGTTAAAATGGCTCTTCCCATCTGTAGTAGATTCTATTGTTCATATATAAGACAAGACACGTTATTAATTTAAATAACAAGTACAGAGACATATGTTGAATATAACACTTCAATATTTATAACATTGCGTCAAGCTCTGATAAATAAGTCCTTCACCTAGTATATATAGGTGTTTTATCGCCGTATGAAATGGGGATTTCTTCCGTAAAATACTCTGGTACATTAAACTGGGTAGTAAAGCAAATATGATTGTTCATACATTGAACTGCGCCTACTCATTGCTCTATACACTGTACAAACTTAGATTTTGTATTTGTATATTTTTTAAGCGTCTTATGTCATTAAAATGCGTAATTGCCATAGCTGTCCAAAATTAAATTAATGAGAGATGAGTCATCTTTATATTCATTTTACCGAGACTAGTACTGTTGATAAACTAAACATGAACAGAGAGTACATTGATATCATCTTTATAAACAGTAAAAAATTATTTTTAAGAGAAGAACTGTTACAAAATTTTCTCAAAGATATTGTTGTTATTTAACTATATTGTACATGAAATTCTATCTAGCTAATCTATTGACTGTATGCTATAATTGCAAAGTATGATAAAGTGAAATCACAATAATTTTGATAAATTGACATTAAACGCATTTATAAACACAATACAATATATTGCTAATGCAGTTGGACATGTCTCATAATTCATTTTCCAACCAAACAACAAGTCATGAAATGCACAAACGGTACCTAAACATGATTTTTATCAATATGAAATTTCATACTATTAACTAATTAAACGTGTTACGAAAAAAGAGGGAAAATGTATCAATAGAGAATGTTTGCATTAGACATTTAAAAAAAAAAATTTTTTTAATCTAATTTAAAATTACAGTTTCAGAACCTGAGAAAATTAACTTTTTGGAGAAAGAAAACTGTCTGCCCTAAGACGAAAATGTCGGAAGTACGAGGATTTTTTTTAAGCCTTCGAAAACGCTTATCTGAACGTATTTCTAAATTTGCATTCTCCCATGCAGTAGATAATTTTCATTCTAGGCGTATCTTCTCTCCGATTTATTTCCTTGACCGCAGTCTTGGTGTTCAACGTGGTAATTTCTCCTGTTTGTCTTACCAAATTTAAGAGGATGTAGCAGAAATTTGCTGCATGGCGAATCTTAATGAAATTAAAAAATATGGAAAAGGGAGCTTTACAAATGGGGTTTTTCAGAAAAAAAAACAATACCCCCCAATAGCTAGGAAACAAAGTTAAGGTTGTTTGAATAATAAAGGAATGTGAGTGTGTTGACCTCCAATGACGGCGATCGGGAAAAACTCAACTTAATTGCTAATTTAGGCCTACTGAAAACTATAATGTTTCCGCCAAAATAACGGTTTGTCTGATCTTGACAAAGACGATATCAACGATGCAAAAGATATGGCCCTTGTTTTCAAGCAGATACAGGGCGAATAAGTTAGTTAAAAAACTTAGCTATAATTATTTTTTCAAAAATATTTCACCTTATCATAAAAATTTTTAAATTGAAATGCATTTGTTTGACATTTCTTTCATCTTATAGCGATAACATACAAAAAGACAGACAGACCTTTGGGCAGGTCGAAACTAGATATAACTATATCTTCTATAACGGGATCACCCACTGCCTAAAAATTGTAAAAGCAAAAATGATGTTGGATACCTAATTCATATTTCGGATCAATGTACAAATCAAGATGTTTGTTGAATACTGATGCCAACATATTGCAGCTTATTGCAAAGCTTTAAGTAACAGAAGATTTCTTAGAAATGTAGATACTCAAAGAACGCTCTTGAATGGAATACGCCTAGGAAGTATAAAAGCCCTTGCGCCAAAATCTTATAATGTTATGTTCAAAATTATGTCAAGTTGTGCGGATTTAAGGAAGCTCTTATCATGTAAAATATAAAGGTCCATAAAAATGTTTTAGCTTAGGTTGCATGTAGGTTGGTCAAAAACATTATCAAGATCAAAGGGTCTAAACTATTTGTTCCCAAGGGTTGATCTTGTCACAGGAAAAACATAAGTGAGATATGAAAGCCCAGCACTTCCAATTTAAAGATTATGGACAAGGTAAAAAATTTAAAAAAGTAGGTCAAACTCCGAGGTCAAACACAAAAAGTCAATATCTCTGATTCCCTAAAG